CCGCCCGCCCGCCCACAGGATCGAAGAGAACATGCTCAAGAAGGCGAACCAGAAGCGCAAGCTCGACCAGATGGTGATCGCCGAAGGCGAGTTCACGACGGACCACCTCCAGAAACTCGACTGGCGGGACTACCTCGACGATGGACAACTCGCCGAATTGGGCGTCGACGCGGGTTCGAACGAGCAAGGCGATACCGGGACAGGCGCAAGCGCGATGCAGTCTGCCGCAGAGATCCGACAGGCTCTTGCGGCGGCGGAGGACGCGGAGGACGTCGCTGCTGCGAAAGCCGCAGAGCAGGAGATCGAGATTGACCGGACGGACTTTGGGAATGAGGGTCAGCAGGCTTCGAGGACGGCTGCGACATTTGGGAAGGACGGATTGGTCAACACGACTGCTGCGGGGCAGAAGGAGGAGGAGGAGGATCCCCTCGCGGGTACGATCGATGGAGTTATGGTCAAGTGGGTCGAGGAGGATTGGGATTACTTTGCGTGAGGGAGGACGAGGCCTTAACGTGTGTGTGATGTCGCTAGTGAACTCTCGGTCTTGTTTGTTGTACTCTCTTAGGCTTGCCGCAATCGCAGAACTCATCTCGGACCACCATGCACTCTGCTTCGTTGCCCAACCTCGACCGTCTACCTCCCTCTCGCACTCTACCGCCGCAAAGGCTGCTTCTCGACCGCCGAGTCCGAACCGGAGTCGGTATGGACGTCGGAAGCTGTCGAGCGAGGCTGAGGAGGCGAAATTGTCGAAGCCGGCGGCGGTACTCCATCCAGACTTCCATCCGAGCTGTCGCTCCCGTCGCCGTCGTACCTTCCCGTCCTGCCCTTCGTCGTCGATGGCGCCGAATCGCCCTTCTTCTGCCGCCTCTCAGTCTTCCCCTCCTTCGCTTCCTTCTTCCTCCGCGCAAACCTCCCTCGCCCATGCTTCTTCGTCCGAGTCCAAAGCAACCCCGCGCCCGTCGCCGGCCTCGTATGGACGTAACACGCGCAAAGAGCGAGTAGGAGAAGGTGCAGTACCAGTCCTGAGATGCCGGTCGTGAGTGAGAAGACGCGAACGGCGGTCCACCAATCTTCGCAGGATATCGAATGTTGACTCAGCCAGCCTGGACGATGGGGAGGTCAGCGAGAGATGGAAGGAGGAGGAGGGAGGAGGGACGGAACAGGCTGTTTGGAGGGTGATGGAGTTGAGCCAGGAGAGTTCCCATTTGAGGAAGAGGGCGACGAGCGGGATCTGCATGATGGCGATGACCTGCGCGACCCAACACTCGTCAACTCGACGCTTTTCGTCTTTCGAGGCTGACGGGCGCCGACTCACGCCAAACGAGATGACCGCGCCTTCTTGCAAGTCCCGCGAGGGGAGCAAGAGCGTCGCGATGACGTCGACGAGGAGGAAGGCGAGGACGATGTACCAGACGAGTGCGACGAGGCAGGAGTAGGCGATGGCTTCGAGCCCGTCGCCCAGTTCGCTCAGTCCAGTCCAGCCCGAGACGACTGCGGGGCAGTATCAGCGTCGTCGAGAGTCGACGTATGCAGTACACGCACGATTGAAGGCGTAGCCACGGAGCGCGATGATCGCGAGGTCGACGAGGAGGGTGAGCGCTGCGACGGCAAAGATGGTCCCGGCGAGGAAGCTTTGCTCGAAGAGCTTGCGCGGCGAGATCAACATGAGCTTGACCATCGCTTCGATGCACTAGCCAGCCCCGCGAGAAGAGCGAGAGAGCATCGTCGTTGCGAGTTGTGCGCGAGTGAGGAGGTTCGAGCCGGACAATCCGCGGAGCCAGCGGGGAAGTGCGAGCTCGATGTGCCAGTCAGCCAGCGTGTCTAGCTCGTTGTAAGCCGTGTAAGTGTAGCTTTAGAGCAGTAGAACTGGGTTGTAATGGCGCAAAGGACGAGGCGAGCGAGCGGAAGCTGCGGCGGAGCTGATCGACCCGGCTAGACGGCATCCCGCGCCGTGCCGAGCTCGCCGCGCCCTTTGGTCAAATCTCTTCGTCGCGAAGGCTTCGCTCTCTCGCTCGTTCTGCTCCCGTGATACACTCTAATACAGCATAGACTCTCACCGATAGACCCACTCAGCCACACACGCGCAACTCGCGACTCGCCAGACCCACTTCACCCGCACGCTCGCCATGTCCCCCGTCGCCATCAACGATCCCACCGAGAAGCGCACCCAGGCGCCCACCAAGCCCTGGAAACCCGTGCAGACGTCGCCCCTCGTCGAGCGCATCTCGAACCCGATCCGCGAAATCGTCGCCAACATCGACCTCTCTGCTCCGCCCGAGAAGGGCGTCGAGAAACCACTCATCAACCTCGGATTGGGCGACCCTTCGGTTGCAGGCAACTTCCCGCCTGCGCCTGAAGCTATCGCAGCCATCGAGGCGAGTCTCAAGTCCGGACGCGCGCTGGGCTACCCCGAGAGCGTCGGGTACCCTGATGCCCGCGAGGCCGTCGCCAACTACTTTGACGAGGGGCCGGGAGGGAACTGGCGCATCTCGAAGCAGGATGTCGTCATGGCGCACGGAGCGAGCGGCGCTCTCGAGATGTGCATCTCAGTCCTCGCGAGCGAGGGCAAGAACGTCCTCTTCCCCAAGCCCCTCTTCACCGCCTACGAGACGATGGCTGCGACGACCGGTGCCGAGATCCGCTACTACAACCTCCTTCCCGAGTCGAACTGGGAGGTCGACCTTGCGCACCTCGAGTCGCAGATTGACGAGAACACGGCGTTCTGTATCCTCAACAAGTGCGTCCCGCTCCCGCTTCCTTCGCTTGCCCCTCTCGCTGACATACTCGCACACAGCCCGTCGAACCCGTGCGGCTCCAACTGGAGCGAGGCGCACCTCCGCGACATCGCCGCCGTCATGAACCGCCACCAAGTCGTCGTGATCGCCGACGAAGTCTACGCCGGCCTCGCGTGGAACGTCACCGGTCCCCCTCCCGCTTCCGCCACTCAGCCCGCCGTCGAAGGCAAGTTCAACCGCCGCGTCTTCACGCCTTACGCTTCGGTCTGCGGCTCGGCACCTTGCCTCGTCGTTGGAGCCGTCTCGAAGCGGTGGCTCGCACCGGGCTGGCGTCTGGGCTGGACGATCGTCCACGATCCGCTCGGCGTGATGGGTGCCGTCCGCATCGCACTCGGCAAAAAGGCCTTCGTGATCCAAGGCCCAAACTCGACGATGCAGCGCGCCCTCCCCTCGATCCTCGCCAACACTCCCGAGTCGTTCTACGTCAACACGATGGTCGAGCTCGAGCGCGTCGGAAAAGCCCTCTTCGACCGCCTCGCCCGCATCCCCGGTCTCAAGCCCTGCCTCCCGCAAGGCGCGATGTACCTCATCTGCGGCTACGAAGGCCTCGATTTCGAAGACGACAAGGCGTTCGTCACTGCGCTTCACAAGGAGGAACGCGTGTTCATCCTTCCTGGCGCGGCGTTCCGTTTGGATGGGTTCATGCGGTTCGTCACGACTACGCCGCTCGAGACGCTGCTTGATGCGTGCGACCGCCTCGAGGCGTTCTGCGCAAGGCATCGCAAGGTCGTCGCTTAGATCCCCCTTACACTAGACTTCCCATACAGCCATACGACGCTCTTCTTCTAGACTCGCACTTCGCACGCCTTGAGATAGATATACCCACATCCTTTCGTAGACTTCGTTCCCACTCCGTACACCCGTTGTTGCATCGCACATCTTGTTTCGCTCAACCGCAGACCATCCGAGTCGAACAAGCAACCAAGCGAGTTCTCGCTCCTCCTCTCACTTCGTCGCTCGCGACGGCGGAGACAACATTGAAAGTATGCAAGCGAGCGGAGCGACAGCTAGAAGAAATCGGAGACCTTCTTATTGACGCGGACCGCATTCGAGAAGCCCTCGTTGAAGCGGTACGTCGCTTGTCGGACGCGCTTCAGCGGAGGCGGCGCGATGGCGAGCGAGTCGCCTTCTGCAGCTGCGAAAGAAAATGTCAGAAGCGTTAAGAAGCTGGAAGGAGGGGGTCGACGCACCTGCTGCGGGAGACCCTGCTTTAGGGAGAATAGCGCGCCCGAAGAAGTCGACAGCCTGCTTCGCCTCAGGCGCAACGGACGCAGCAGTCTTCGTCGGGTTGCTCAGGGTGTGAGCAGACGTCAGTGGAGGACCAGCAGGCCGCGAGATCGAGAGACGCACGTCTTGTAAGCGGAGAGGATCTCGCTCGCCGTCTTGA